AAATTTTTTTTTTTCCCCCCCCCCCCCCCCCCCCCCTCCATACTATAAATACGTGAATAGTTCAAAGGTGATTTATCGAATTTATGAGCAGGGCCAAGGACGACTGCGAAATATTCATGCTGACGAATGTTCGCATTGTAGAACCGCGTAGAATTTTACGTCACTACGGGTGACGATAGCTTCTATGCATAAGCAATAGGCAAAAAACTGTCTTGATGAACCTTAAACTGCGTTATAAAAATGGCGATGATAAATTCGTTCAGACTTTCTGTGACTTTGATCACAATAGATCCGTAAATAAAGGTACTTATTCAATCATATTCAATGAATTCATTCTTGCGACGCGGGTATACTTAGATTTCAATTCTGTGAACTTCACGTTTTAGTATGTATCGCCTTGTAAAAATAACAGCGCTGACTTTATTCGTTTATATAGATTCTCTGCCATTTTGAATGGAACAGACAACTGAACGAAGAAATCTATTGAATCGTTTCCGACCGATTCGTCCACGTAATTTCAACCCTTGTCAAATAAACGACGATAAACTGGTAATTTGATCAGCGTTATTATGCTTCATGTTAAATTCTCTGGACTTCGATGTTTCGGCGTGCGTCAGCTTATAAAAACAAGAACAATGAATTCCTTTAAAATTCATGCAATGCAGATTTTAATGGATACTTGAATTTTAAAAAATCTACTCGATCTTTCGAACGTTATTTGAGCAGCGTTAATGTATCCGGTGATGATGAATTCAATGAACCGTTGTATTTCATTAATCTTCGGAAAATTAGCATAATTGCATGAAGACTTACAGTCTAACAGCGACAGGTGGGTCACCTCATGCAAATCGCTAAAAAGAAAGTGAAACCGAGTGTTGGTGTTTCGTTCTCTTTCTTCGTGAGTTAATTTATGCGTTTTATTCAAAATCGGAATTCAAGCACGAATACGAGAAGTTCCGCAGTCCAGTGATCGCAAACGGGTTTCGCATTTCGTAATCGACCGTTTTAGAACACATCCGTCCGGCTGCATGCGTTTTTTAAAGACACAGCAGATGGACGTCGGGCGGGCTAAGCAGATGCGAAATCATCTGACCTTGATACCATTCGATTCCCCTCGGGGACTGGTCTGCTCGGTGTGTCACTTTTCAGCCATTTTCGGACGTGCCGTCGCTGTTTCCGATGAAAAAAAAATCGACTTTACGTCGCTGTTCTGGAAACTGGGGCAACTTGATTCAGCCACCGCATACGGGGTGGTTCGCGCGCACTCCGCTGAAAACTGCTGTTGCATCGCGCGAACGACGCTTTAGCCATTGTCTCCAATTTTCATCGCTGTTCCTTCGCGCTACTTCAGAAAGTCTTGGGTTTTTCAGAACGATTCGCGAATGTCTCTAATGTTTCGTTTGGAAACGTTATTTAACTAATTTTTTCTTCGCGTAAAATTGTACGCGATCCTCGTTCTTTTGTAAAGATAAAAATCATGTTAAAAATATTACAAAGGTAAAAATCATGTTATAAATATTACAAAGATAAAAATCATGTTAAAAATATTGCAAAGATAAAAATCATGTTAAAAATATTACAAAGGTAAAAATCATGTTATAAATATTACAAAGATAAAAATCATGTTAAAAATATTGCAAAGATAAAAATCATGTTAAAAATATTACAAAGGTAAAAATCATGTTATAAATATTACAAAGATAAAAATCATGTTAAAAATATTGCAAAGATAAAAATCATGTTAAAAATATTACAAAGATAAAAACCATGTTAAAAATATTACGAAGATAATATATTTCGTTATGTCATCCGACTCGTTTAAAGAAAGAAAAGAAGTATGTCTGCTTGCGATTTTACTAATTCTTGCTCCTAAAGGTATGTAAAAGTATTACAATATTAATTCCCTTGGGTCTTCAACTAATTCTTACGTTGTAGAAATCTGCACGTTAATTATTCTAATTGCTCGCAAGATTGTAATCCACAATAAAATGATTGCGATATTAACGCGTTTCTTCGTGTTGCTTAACTCATTCTTGCTTTTTAGAAAGCTGCACATAAACGACCGTAAGTTTTCGTAAAAGAATTGGGTTGCAACACAGGTTCGTCCGGTTATTACGATAAAACTATTGCAACGGTAACGCGTTTGTCCACGCTATTTCACTAATTTTCACTTCGCACGGAACTGTACACAATCGATTCTTATTTTTCGTGTCAGTAAAAGCTACCGTAAAAATATTACGATCAAAGTGTGCGGGCCTGAACAGAAATTTTCACGACGATTGCGATGCTTGGCGACAAAAAGCATAGCGTAGTTTACGCGATAATGATATCACGTGCGCGGCGACGAATGTTCAAGCTAGTTTTAAAAATTGCTGTAAGACAGCAATTTTTTTTCCTGCTGCTTAAAAGATTAAAGTCGCATCGATATCTGGGTCATTAGCGACACGTTGCGTTGGCAGATATTAGTTGAAAGGAATAGTAGAGGACATTTTTAATGACACAGAAGAATTTCTCGCCAGAGTTCGTCTAAAAGGACAGTCTGAAGAATCACTGAAGACAATAGAGTTAATCCTGAAAAATCACTGAAAACAATGGAGTTAGTCCTTTGCACAGTTATTTGGTTTCAAAGATGCCAGTTGAAAGCACGGCATCCTACGGAGGTTGGAAATAAATGCTTCACACTAGACCAGGCGTGTCAAACTCGCGGTCCGAGACGAACATTTGTGATGTCAAGTATCAGGACGTAAACAATAATTTAACTTTATATATGTGTTTATTACAATGTACTAGTCAAAATAAAAATACTTGTTTCTATGAACATTGATTTTTTTTTGCGGCCCACCTAAAGTTAAGCATTGTTTATTTATTATTATGACCCAACTTAGCTTTTGAGTTTGACAGACTATCTATGACTATGTCGATCTGTTATCTTTGCAAGCTTTTACACAGTAAAATTCATTGTCCGGGCAACTGATAACAGCGGGATCTCGTTAATCAATTTCGATCAAAATCTCCACAAAAATTCCAAATCGCGAATAGAAATCGAACAATCGTGAAGATTTACAGATCACTTCGATCGTGAATAGTCCGCGGATCTCGTGCATTTACGCTTCTCAAGCGAATATCTAAAAATGCGCGGAAAGGAAAAAACACGTGCACGAATATTCATGATGCTCGTTTTATGTACCACGAGGAGGTCTTTGAATCAACGAAAGATATTATTTTTTTCCAACGCTTTAGTTATCATACAGCTGAATATGAAAATGAGAATCTGAATAAAAATTCGCGGTCTAATTATAAATTCCATGCGCCGTTGTGTTTAAGCGAACGTTTCGGTACGTTTTATCTGCCGTTTTATCCGGCCGCTGTTTAATTGCTGGATACACAGTCACGATCAGGTATTCACGGTATTTACACGAAAGCGTTGGATTATTGGATTAGGCGGGTTTCTTTCCGCGTGGGCCGATAAAAGTGTTATACGGTTACGTTAATAGCAATTGCTTGCATGCGATCGCGTCGTTCGAAACGTTGCTTCGTCGCTCGTACAGCATTTTTACGGCGGAACTTCTCGAAACCGCGCGGCTTTTTACGCGAACGGAAACAGGCCAATTGGCGGAAAAGTTCAGGAAGACGCGAGCGAACTACGGAAATGGAGTGATTCGCGGTAGTTCGATACACACAATTTAGGATACTGTCACCGGGCTGCTG